GTATCTTTAGATGGCTATACCATCCAAGTATGCAAATGCGAAGTCCTGGAGCCAGTCTAAGAGGCGGTCAGCCATCCGCTGAAAGGTATTTTTCATCAAATGGCCTGAAGTAGTGAAAAACCACCCAATAAAAGATTTGACCAGCCTCTTCCGAGAGTCAATCCAAGAAACAGTTCCACGTGGCCAGTCTGAAGTATCGCTGTTGTCTCAGACCACTTATCCAGCTGTTCTATCTGGTTGGGGAGCCTATGCTGGAGATATCTGCAGAGTGGGAAAAGGAGTTATAGGTGTGTGATTATGCTCTTTTTAGTATAGTTTTATGGAGTTCCTTCAGAGTTTTCAGATTTGACCAGGCAATTAATTACCTCTCGATTCTACTTGGCCTAACTAAGGGTTTCGTCCATGTGAAAATCATACTGAAACTATACTGGAATCTAAAGTGTTGCAATCATGGCATGTGCTAGCCTCATGTTTCCGTGAGCCACGTGCCTATTTTATCCCTTTCCATGCTATATATATATATTTGTATGAGCAATTGAATTGGACTGACAGTGGTACTCTGATTGGCTGCTCTCTATAGTCTTAAAGTAATGTGGTTCACTGAAGTGCTGGCCCATGTGTCTTCTATCAGACATGGACTCCACCTACATATAAATGCTGCTTAAAGGAAAACGTATTAATTTTATTATAATTTTATCCCTGGCCATTCTCTGCGTAGGGACTCCCACCATTTGAAAGAGGAACAAAATATAGACAGAGAACTCCCTTTGGTCAAACAACTCATTTCTAGTTTGTCTCTCAGGAAATAATAGGAAGATTTCTGTCCCAAAAAGATGTTTTACAATATTTGCCTGATTACTCATGATGCTATTTTTTACTATTGGGGATTGAGGTCTAAGGAAGTCCTCTCTACATATTTTGTTCCTCTTTCCTTGTCTGGTTTGGGTCTCTTGTCCCGTCACTGTCTGAGCTATCTGTAACACCATCTTGTTTAAATTTGTACTCTAGTCTATTCGTGATTTATGGCATCTATTAGTCGAAGAGACAGAAAAAGAGAAACTCTAGGAACATAAACAAGAACACAAGGGATTTAGATTCATGGACCCGATTTAATTTTACTGCCAGGTGAAATAACAGTTGCAAACAACTAGCAACAGCTAGATTTAGCATTCAGCACTGTCTGAATTGAAACTTTGCCACAAAACATCTACAGACAGGCAGGGCCGGATTTCCCAATAGGCAGGGGAGGCAGTAGCCTACAAGCACATGTCAAGTAAGAGGCACTATTTACAGCACTTATAATGTACTTTTTGGAGCTGAAGTGGGTTGTTGGCGGGTGATAAGTACTAGATGCTTTGGCCAGTGACCTCTGTAGTCCAGTCAGCCTTCTATGCTTAAACGATTACTCCAACCACCATGATCACTTCGGTGATTTGAAGTCGTCATGGTGGCAGGAGTCAGTATGTGCAGTGTTTCTGCTTAAAACACTGTACATACTGAGGTATTTTTTAGTTGGGTGCTGGGGGCTGCAAATATCAATGTTGTGGATATTTTGTGTCTGTTGTCTGGGGGCACAGCATACTGGCAACAGGCTTGACCATCTTCCGCCAGATAGCTCTCTCCTCCCAACCTCCAAACCATTGTGTCTTCCCTCCAATCTCCCTTCATTGCAGACAGTTATTGTTATATTTTTTTTAAACCATCTCTCCCTGCAGAGTAGGCAGTATAGATATAGGGGTCAGATTAAAATAAACTGATGATGCAAATTTTAGAAAGCCTCTCTCCCCGGTAATCTAACTCTCTTTGCTACTATGCCTGTCTAGTTAGATTACCAGGGAGAGAGGCTTTCTAAAATTTGCAACGTCATTTTATTTTAAACTGATCCCTATATCTATACTGCCTTCTCTCCTTCTACCTTCTGACTGGCAGAATCTCTCCTCTACGGCACTTTATTTATACATGTATCATACCCCTACTACCATCACCAATGTAAGACTGCTCTGTCTATTACACTTAACAGATAAGTGATAGACTATTCCATTGGATTATCAGCTCATAGGAATCAGATCTGGGGTTTAGACCTATAAGTGATAATGATGCTGGGAGGAGTACCTTTTGGTATACCATGGATAGAGGATATATTGGGATAGATTCTCTTCATACAAGCCATTTTTATAATAAAGCTTTATTTTAGTATTTTTAATTGTATCCCTATATATATACAGAATACTTCTACCTGGTATATTTTTTATGCATAGTTGCCTGTAGATATATTTTTTTTACTGACCACTAAGTTTGGCAACCTGTATTTATTTATTATTTTTTCACATTAGCCTGTATTTTGATATTTACTCTACATTACTATACTAATATCCAGGAGATGCAACTAGCCTCGGGGCTCTGTTTGCACTGAGATTATTTGGCATCTAATTTTCTGTTTTTGGTTTATCATTATATTGGGGTTAAGCCCCTTGAGACCCCTAGAGTCTTATCTCGGTACCTAAGACTAGTGGTTACACCAGGCACGACTACCCTAGGGTACAGTGCTTGTGGTAATACCCAATGCCTTATTTTCTGTTCTTTTTTTTTGTATAATAAAAACATGCTAGCCCCCCTTGCCTCCCTTAAATAAGTTAAAAAAAGGGCTGGTCCTGCTCCGATCCCCCTCTTTGGCTGACATCATCAGAATTGATGATCTCAGCCAATTACAATGCTTTCCTATAACATTGGATTGGCTAAGACTGTCAATTCTGATGATCTCAGCCAAGGAGGTGGGGTCTAACGCCGCTCTAGCCAATCAGCATCTCCACACACTGTGCAGCACTGCCCCAGAAAGTATCTCTAGTGGCTGTCAGAGGAGGTGTTCCTAGGCAGAAATGTAAACACTGCCTTTTCTCTGAAAACGCAGTGTTTACATTAGAAATCCTGCGTGGACTGACTATATTCACAAGAATAACTACAATAAACTGTAGTTGTTCTGGTGACCATAGTGCCCCTTTAAATAAACATTTTCCTTAATCCCAAATTCAATCACTCAGAAAATACCAGAAACTAAACATTTACTCTAAGTTTAATTTTTCTTAAACACTAAACACCCCCAATACTAAATTTAATCAAACTCTAACCCTAAACCCAATAATCCTAAACACCCCTTATAACACAAAAATAAAAACTTTCAAGCTTTTAATCCTGTTAACTCCCTATGTAATCTAACTCTCAAATGAACCCCTCTCTAACCTTAACCCCCCTTTACGTTAACCACTTCTAATATTATCTTTGACCCTGCATGCATTTACACAGCTGCACACTCTCAAAATACTCACAGATTCAAACAAAACACATAACATGCAGAAATATACACATATATACATATGACAATTTAAGAAATGAATATACGTTTTAGAAATGTTTATAACTGCATTGTCCACTTAATAAGTTCATTAAACTCATTTTCTTTTTCTTTTCTTTTCTTTTTTCTTTGGTGGGGGGGAGGGGAAACGTTCTGCATAAAGAAAGGGCAGAGTAAACAAAATTATACAAAGCCGTCAGTTAACTTGCTGAGAGCCTCCAGTTCATCTAACTCTAACCATGCTTATAGAACCTTTCCAGCACTGACTGCAACAGCATTGAAAACTGTGCTAAATAAATAAATAAATAAAATCAGATTCTTGAGTAGTCCATGCCAAACAAAGCCGTCTGCAAGGAGGGTTTGACTATATGAAGTCCTGAGAACTTCCCATCAGCCAGTGAGGACCCTGAATAGTGATCCTGCTTTTATGAGGACAGAGTTGAGTACGTAATGATGACATTAAAGGGACACTCCAGGCACCCAGACCACTTATGCCCATTGGAGTAGTCTGGGACTGGGTGCCAACTCCCATCACCCTTAACCCTGCAAGTGTAATTATTGCAGTTTTTATAAACTGCAATAATTACCTTGCTGGGTTAAGTCCTCCTCTAGTAGATGTCTATTAGACAGCCACTAGAGGGACTTCCAGGTACTTAAAACAAGAAAAGTGTTTTAAACGACGCTGGAAGTCCTCACACTATGCATGAGGACCCCCAGTGTCACCGAAATCCCCAAAGGAAAGCATTGCAGCACATGCGCATTAGGTCTCCCCGCCGGGACATCAACGAGGGACATCGGCACTGGATTCAGGTAAGTCACTGAAGGGGTTTTAACAACATGGGATTTTTTATGCAAAGGTGTGCCTTAGGCTGGCCACAATAGAAGGCCACTCTAAAATGTGCAGTTTTATCACACAGCACAATGCCACAGATGTCCCAAGTTTTGAGGGAGCATGCAATTGGCATGCCGACTGCAGGAATGTCCACCAGAGCTGTTGCCCATGAATTGAATGTTTATTTCTCTACCATAAGCTGTCTCCAAAGGCGTTTCAGAGAATTTAGCAGTACATCCAACCGGCCTTACAAACACAGACCACGTGTAACCACACCAGCACAGGACCATTGAGCATGTTTGGGATGCTTTGGATCGGCGTATACAACAGCGTGTTCCAAAAGGTGGTCACACTAGAAACTGACTGGTTTTTGGACGCCCCTGGACTCCCCCAATACAGTAAAATTGCACATTTTAGAGTGGCCTTTTATTGTGGCCAGCCTAAGGCACACCTTTGCAGTAATCGTGCTGTCTAATCAGCATTTTGATATGTCACACCTGTGAGGTGGATGGATTATCTCGGCAAAGGAGTGCTCACTAACACAGATTAAGACAGATTTGTGAACAATAGGCCTTTTGTGTACATAGGAAAAGTCTTAGATCTTTGAGTTCAGCTCATGAAAAATCGGGGGGAAAACAAAAGTGTTGCGTTTATAATTTTGTTCAGTGTACAAAAGAAATTTGTAAAATAGACAGAAACACTCACAAGTGTAGAGCAGTAAAGTCTGCTCTGAACTGTAATGGCATCTTTTGCAAGTATGGAGACTTGAAGCTGTGGTGAAGTCAAATAATGCTTTATTTACAAACAGGAGAAAAACAACTTCCAGGCAGGTGAGTCCCCTTCTTTTCTCTTCCCTCTCCTCTGATATAGGTCCTCTCCAGTCTTTAGGTCGAATGCCAGCTTCACAAGACCCAGAGGGCTGGATTTGTAGCACATTTCTTCTGGGAGGCGGGGCTTACGGCCGTTGAGCATAATGACGTCAGAACATGATGACACGTTTCGCAGATGCACTCGGCTTCATCAGATCCACCCTTACTTCGACCACAGTCTCAATTTAAGTCACTCTAGTGGGTGTGACTGCCCAAAAGTCTGCAAATAATGTCATATGATTGGTTAAAATGAAAAAACCCTATTTTCTTAAATATATGAAAATAACAGTTTAATTAAAATATACAAAATGGTAAAAAGGCTTCTATATATAAAAAAACACGTACGACCCACATATTGTTGCCCACGTGGACAAATTAAAAGACAAATTAAGTTTTTAGTAAAACAAGTAATAAAATCATTGATACAGAACTCTTTGTCATTCTGTTTACTTTTTAATTTATTAATACCCTTTAAGGTCTCCTTTCTGCTATACCTGCAGCCAGTACATTTACCGTAGGAATAAAAACCCTTTCTATCAATTAAAACATGTTTATGTATAGTCTTTCCAGGGAGATTATGTGTTAAAATTAAATTAAAATTGGGGGCCCCCCTAAAAGTTATAAAAGTTTTTTTGGGTATAACTTTGGCTAACTACGTATCCTTTTTTAATAAAAGCCAATGTCTATATATTATAGTTTCAATAGCCCTATGTAGAATATTAAAACCAAATACCATCGGTACATTATCACAGTTCTTATCTTCAATATAATGAACTTATTTTATTTTAATAAGATCATCTTGATTTAGATTTAATGTTTCTTCATATGCACCCGCTACTAAATCCTCTGGATATTTTTTCTCTAATAATCTCCCTTTTAAAAGTTGTGCCTGTTCTTTAGAAATTACTGTATCCATGCAATTCCTTCTTAATTGACTCTAAGGGATGTTATTTAACCATGGAGTATAATGACCACTACTGTATAAGACATAATTATTTGCATTAATAGTAAAAAAAAACATAAAAATTAGTTTTAATCTCCATATCCTCAATATATATTTCTAGATCTAAAAATTCAATTTTAGTGGTGCTATATTGGCTAGTTAATTTAATGCCCCAATTATTTTGATTAAGATCATTTAAAAACTTGTCCAAATCATCCGTTTCACCATTCCATATAAAAATCAAATCATCGATATATATACGATGTAGGACCAAGTTAGTTTTTATTCCCTGAAATTTCCTTCTTAAAATGAGGTGCGTGTTATACGCCGGTGCGTGTTATACGCCGATAAATACGGTATATTCATTATCATTCAATATACCAGACCTCTCTCTAAAAGTGAATATAATGAGTTCACTATATACCTTTTTGTCATTCAGTTGTCGATAGCATTCTTTTAAATATTTTTCAGTATTTTGAATGACAATACTACCGCCCTTATCTGCGGGTTTTATAATTATAGTTTCATCGCTTCTCAACCCATCCAAAGCACATTTTTCATTATAATTTAGATTGTATCTCCTTTTCTGATTTTTACATTTGAGTTTTTCAAAGTCATTAATTACTGACTTCTCGAACATATCTATTGCACTGGTACAGTATGTTCTCGGATAAAAACTGGATTTATTTCTTAAGAAAGCAAAAGATACCATTACAGTTCAGAGCAGACTTGACTGTTCCACAGTTGTGAGTGTTTCTGCCTATTTTACAAATTCCTTTTGTATAATACATATTGCCCTATGTGATTGTCCCTTTTCTCTTGTTTTTGAGATATCATATTGGACCCTTGAGACAAGCAAAGTGAGATACTCCTCAGTGAGTAAAATAGAAAAGGGTGTTTATATCACGTTTTGTGTGGTTTTATTATATTTATATTTTTGCACATTATTACACATTTTAGTGTGTTTTAGTGTGCACTTTGGCACTTTGGGTAACAATTTCATCACTACACCAATTGTTTTGTGTTTTATGCAAATCACACTTTTAATATAAGGTATATATTTAAAGTCTTAAAGACACAGCACACTCTATTGTTTGGTTTATATATAGCATAGAAGAAAACAGAAAACTATATACAATAGGGCAATTCTAGAAATTAAATGTGACTCTCAATAGTGGATCAACCAAGGATGGTGATATGTTACACTCACACGTACAGGAGCCTCTGCAGGCAGGCTGTAAACTCTGGGCTCTTGGGCCTTCAGGTACCACACTGTCCACAGATATTTCTATAACTAAATATTTTTTTTTATTATTATTATTTTAGCATGCCACTTATTTACTTGTTTATTTTGGAGTTGTTTTCCAAAATATATTTTTTTCACTATTTTGAATTTTGAGAGAAATACCTGCACACGTGTAGTAGCTGCTTACTAGTTTTGTATTCTCTAATTTAAGCACCTGTTTTCACTTTCAGTTTGAACCACCTTTTGAGTTCTATTAGCAAACATTAGTTTAGAAATGCACAAAGTAAGCACTTTTGAATATACAGTAGTGTAAATTACATAATGTATTCTTAGAGCATCAATCTATGATACACAATCACTGTGTTAATGAAGTGGTTATAGGGCCATTAGGCTACGAGTGCCGTCCACTGCTTGTTCAAGACGTATTTGAGCAATTTAGCCAAAACTGGGGATCCGTGAAGCCCTGGTCATCTGTTGCTAATGCAGAAGTATTTCCACATTAGCATTATCAATTTCATTAATAATTTATAGACAATTATTGGATAAGCACGTTTTTTTTTTAGCAGTTTGACCAAGAACTGGGGTATGGCGTCCTTCAGCTTAGGTGGTTGTGGTGCCTAGGCTGACCCTGTACATTTTATGAATTCCTTCAGCACAAAATATTCACTCTACAGTAAACAATGCCCAACCTCTTGTCTAAATCCACCTCATTATCTCTGCTTGTCTTTCAGTTTTATTGTTTTCTTGAGTAAAAAGATTATTAGAGATTGATATAAATATCCATGCGATTCTGCTACAGAATAAATAATAAGACTTTATTCTCAAGGGTTATTCACTAAACAGTGAATTGTGGCAACCTGATAATTGCATATTTATTACCAAAGTAGTCAACTAGAGCCACGTTGCAGAGTAACGTCAATGCAGCTACTTCAGCCTGAAACTTACAATTTGATTTGAATTCAGGACAAGTTACTGTTTAGAGAGAAAAAAAAAACCTTGTAACATGGAAAAACTATGGATTATTGGAGAGAGCTAGGAATAATGAATATTCTATAAAGGACTATAATCTGCATGCACTGATGCATTGCAAATACACACAGATAAATAAGCAGATGTATGGAGTACAAGTATTAAAAGAACTGGGAGGGGTAATGGGAGGATGAATTCCCCGTAGGAAATGTGGCGTAGCTTTTAAGATCATGTATTTCACTGTTTAAGAAAGATAATAGAAATGTAAAGAGATGATTATCCCAATAAACTGCGTAGTGATAACATGTCATTTAGCCAGTAGTAAACTGCATGGTTTAATGCAGGGGCGTATTAGCCGCGAGGCAAACAAGGCATTTGCCTTGGGCGGCATTTTTCAGGGGGCGGCAAAAAACGCCGCCCCCCAAATGCCCAAGGCAAATGTCTTGTTAGCCTCGCGGCTAACAGACATTCTGGGCGCTGGGCTGGGCGGGCGGCCGGCGATGGAGCTCTTCCCCTGAGCGCTCTGCTCAGCTCCCTCGCGCGCCGCCAGCAGAGTGAGGCTGGGAGCCGGAATATGACGTCATCAACCCGGCTCCCAGCCTCACTCTGCTGCCGGCGCGCGAGGGAGCTGAGCAGAGCGCTCAGGGGAAGAGCTCCCTCGCCGCCCGCCCAGCGCCCAGGGAGAGGAAGAACCCCCCCCAGCATTACCAAAGGTAAGGAGGCTGGGGGGGGGGTTAAATAAAAAAACAAAACAAAAAAAGCACTAGTGTGTGTGTGGATGTCTGTTAGTGTGTATGTATGTTAGTGTTAGTGTGTGTGTGTGTTAGTGTGTATGTTAGTGTGTGTTAGTGTGTGTATGTTAGTGTGTGTGTTAGTGTGTGTATGTCTGTTAGTGTGTGTATGTTAGTGTGTCTGTTAGTGTGTGTATGTTAGTGTTTGTGTCTGTTAGTGTGTATGTTAGTGTGTGTGGATGTCTGTTAGTGTGTGGATGTCTGTTAGTGTGTGGATGTTAGTGTGTGTCTGTTAGTGTGTGTCTGTTAGTGTGTGTGCATGTCTGTTAGTGTGTGTCTGTTAGTGTGTGTCTGTTAGTTTGTGTCTGTTAGTGTGTGGATGTTAGTGTGTGTCTGTTAGTGTGTGTGTCTGTTAGTGTGTGTGTCTGTTAGTGTTAGTGTGTATGTATGTTAGTGTTAGTGTATGTATGTTAGTGTTAGTGTATGTATGTTAGTGTTAGTGTGTGTGTGTCTGTTTGCCTGTGAGTGTGTGTGTGTTTGCCTGTGAGTGTGTGTGTCTGTTAGTGACTGTGTGTCTGTTAGTGACTGTGTGTTTCTGTTAGCTAGTGAATGCGTATCTGTCAGTGAATGTGTGTGTATTTAGAAGGCGGAGCAGGGGGGAAGGTTGGGTGGCGGTTGCGTGGGGGGGGTGGCTGGTGCCTGAGTTTTGTCCTGCCTAGGGCAGCACAAAACCAGGATACACCACTGGTTTAATGTATGGTCCCTAATTGGGGCTGGGATTTTTATAAAAGGCTGTCCCTCCCCAGATTTTCTTTGGTTCCTATCTGGATGATTACAAGCACCATAACCACTACACTTTGACACTCTCAGCCAGTGAGCTAAGCCTTGCGTTACAGTTTAGGAACATGCAGGTCTCTAAGTGTTCGTAGAAGAGGCAGGTAGCAGTGCCCAGTGGACCTCAGGTAAGAATGCAAACCATTCAAAAAGAGTTTGATTACTTACAATAGAGGGGAGCCAGGGCATGTCTGGTACCATAACCACTACAGTGACTTGTAGTGTTTATGGTGCTTGGTGTGTTCCTTTAAATATAATTTTAAAATAATCTCTAAAATAATTTACTAGTACTACACATAATGACTGGTAATTGTTTTAAAGAGTTACTATAACCCCTTTTGAGATGTGGGTGGGTCCTTTCCAGTATAATATGCCCTATTGGGCACTGTGGAGAAAGTCCCCCCTCAGACCTCCCAATTTGTATAAAATATGCAATAAAAGGTTTTACTCACATGGAATCTAGTGCCGGCAAGTGGGTGGGAGGAGAGAGCTAGCTTCCAATTGCAGGCGCTCTGTCTGCGAGGGGAAGATTTCTATGTATGTTGTCAGTGCGCTGAAAACAGACATGTTTTATGCACAGAATTGACATTGCTAGCCCAGAACACAGTTCTGGGAGGCCAATCTCACATGTGCTGAAGCACTGCACATACTGACTTCTACCACCATGACCACTTCAAATCAATTAGTGATCACTGAAGTGGTCATGGTGTTTGGAGTATACCTTTTATGTTAAGGATTGCATCAATTATTTTTCTAACCTACATATGATCCAAAAATAGAAGGCCGCATAATAACCTGGAAACACTGAAAACATGGGTCTGTAAGCTAATGAAGACCAGGAAAAGGCAGACATTTTAAATAACTATTTTTCTTCAGTATATATTAATGAGGTTCCTATGGCAGGAGATATGCAAATGATTGTTGCAAAAAACTTGCAGATAACTTGTGATTGGATGACTTGAGACAAGGTGCTACAGCAGTTAAAGAAAATTAATGTAAATAAAGCTCCGGGGCCTGACGGGATTCACCCACGAGTACTTAAGGAGCTAAGTGGAGAAATAAGTGAACCTCTGTATTTAATTTTTCAAGATTCTTTTGTTTCAGGTATTGTACTGGAGGATTGGAGGAAGGCAGGTGTCGTTCCTATATTTAAAAAGGGTTCAAAATCCTTGCCTGGAAATTATAGACCTGTGAGCTTAACTTCTGTGACTGGGAAAATAGTTGAAGTGCTATTAAGAGATAATATTCAGGAATTCATTGGGAAGAACTTTGTTTTTCTGAAACATAGGTCATGTCATACTAACGTAATTGCATTCTACAAAGAAGTAAGTAGAAGTATAGATCAAGGTGTTGCAGTGGATGTGATCTACTTGGATTTTGCCAAGGCATTTGATACCATTCCACACAATAGGTTAGGCTTCAAACTAAAAAATAGATGAATATTATTGTTCTTGGGTACAATGAGTTGTCATTAATGGTAAATTTTCAGGCTATACAAAAGTGGTAAGTGGTGTCCCTTAGGGTTCTGTTTTAAGAACTGCTTCTATTTAACATATTAATATGTTATGAAATAGGCATTGAAAGCCATGTTTCAGTGTTTGCAGATGACACAAAATCTTGTAATGTAATAAAATATGAGCAGGATATTGCTTTGCTGCAGAGGGATTTGGATAGATTGGGGAACTAGGCACTAAAATGGCAGATGAAATTAAATGTAGAGAAATGCAAAGTTATGCACTTAGGGGTCAAGAATGCACAAGCAACTTACACCCTAAATGGTAGTGAATTAGGGATAACCACACACGTGAAGGATTTGGGAATTGTTATAGACAACAAATTAGGCAGCAAAATGCAATGTCAATCTGCAGTTGCTAAGGCCAGTAAGGTTTTGTCATGTATAAATAGGGGCATAAATTCTCGGGATGAAAATATAATTTTGCCTCTTTATAAATCGCTGGTAAGACCACACCTTGAATATGCTGAGCCATTTTGGGCACCTTCTCTAAAGAAGGATATCATGGCACTAGAAAAAGTGTAGAGACGAGCTACAAAATTGATAAAAGGAATGGAGCATTTTAGTTACGAAGAAAGGTTAAAAATGTAAATCTCTTTAGTTTGGAAAAATGATGTCTCAGAGGGGATATAATAACATTATACAAATATATTTGGGGCCAGTACAAGCCATTATCTGGAAATCTATTCATAAACAGGGCTATACATAGGACACAAGGTCACGCATTTAGGATGGAAGAAAGGAGATTTCATCAAAGGGAAAGAAAAGGTTTTTTTACAGTAAGAGTAATACTGATATGGAGTTCCATGCCTGAAGAGGTGGCTTTATCAGAGTACATACAGATGTTTAAACAGCAATTGGATAAATACTTGCAAAAACATAACATCCAGGGAAATCATTTCTAATTAGTAGGGTAATAGCTGCTTGATCCAAGGAGACATCTGACTGCTATTTTGGGGTCAAGAAGGAATTTTTTCCTAGCTTGTTGCAAAAAAAAGCGCTTCAGACTAGGTTTTTTGCCTTCTTTTGGATCAACAGCAAAAACATATGTGAGGAAGGCTGAACTTGATGGACGCAAGTCTCTTTTCAGCTATGTAACCTTGTGCGAAGGACTAGTTCAATAAGTTGAGCTCTTACTCTTATTGGAGCAAGAGCTTCAGTTTGAGTGTTATACAGGAACTGAGTTAGATCTACACAGCCTTCTATTAAGTCAGATGAGGAAGTTAGAGTCCTGACTCCCACCAACACACATCAGAGCAGGTAGTGAAACTCTCTGGGTCAGAGTAAAATTTTGTTTTATTATCAGTGTTTTATTCCCTTAAACAGCCGACTGGAGAACTCCAGCATATACATTGTAACATTAGTAAGATTTTGTTTAATTATTATTTTCTGTGAATGTACGAGATGATTTTATTTCACTGCTTGTTACAGACAGAAGGTACACATAGTGATTTCATGCCCAGTAATGGAAACTGGTCCAAAGAACCATGTCTGGATCGAGCTCAATGCTGCAGATTTGTTCTGGTAATGTCAGGAACACTGGCAAACATGCAGCTGGCTTGGGCTCCTAAGGGATTTTTTTCACTTAACTCAAGTGGACTGAAGTGAACAGGAAGAACTCGGCAATATTGGCCACAACTCAGCGCCCACTCACAAAAGTGCGTTAACCCTGCAGCTAAGGGAGAGTGTGGTGACAGTGGTTAAAGTGTTACGCTAAGCACAATGACCATATCAATTATTTTAAGTGGTTATGGTGCCCACAGCATGTATGTGCAGTGTTTCTCTCTGAAGGACTTTAACCCCTCATCACCAGCCCGGAAGTCTGTTGTTGCACAGAATTGCTGGCTAGTGTGGTGAAATGATGCTCGGGCCATGACTACGGCTTTCGGCATCTACAGAATACAGAGGCTTGTCACTGGTCCACCAATGAACATCTGTACCCGGTGGGGACCCACCAAAGGGGGCGAACCACTACTAAATGATTTGCCTCAGTTCTGGGTGAACTGGGCTACAGTACTCTTGGCATCATAACCACTACAGCAGGCTACAATAGCTATGATGCTTGTAGTAACCCTCAAAGTCTGTGGCAAGTTCCTCTTGAGTTTTAATGCGCACAGCAGCTGAACATTCCGTTGAGTTGGATTAAGTTTTTCCATTTTAGGTCATTGGAATTCAAAGTGTGCTTCAGTCCTGTCAGAGGCAACATCATATTCCAGCGGCTGTGTAATACATCTCATTCTGCGTGCCTCAAACTTCGGTTAATGTATATAATTTCTAGCCCAAAAGTTGGGTTGACTGTGATAAGGGTCACAGTCTCACTACCAGTTTAGTTTTATAGAATAAAAAAAAAAAAAACTTCAATAACCCCATTGGATGAGCACAGGAGAGCTAATGGAAGTTTATGTTTGGAACTTTGGGATCTATAGAATTAGTAGAGGCGGTGAGTAGTGGTTCCTAGCGGCCCCTAGGTAAGCAATCATCCAAAAGTGTTTAACTGCTTACAATGGCAAGGTGCCAGGGCACTTCCAACACCATAACTACTAGAGCGATCTGTAGTGATTATGGTGCTTGGTGTGTTTCTTTAAAACTTAGGTTGGACAGGACTGAGCTTGAGTATAAAACCACCTCCGCTGAATGGAATTCTACCCAAAGGGCACTGTGTCTGACCCACTATGTGGGTGGATAAATGGTGGCTCTGATGCAGATAGTGTTACTGTAGCAGCTGAACAGCATTTTTGTTTTTCTCATTCTAGTGGAAATGAAAAGCAACATGCAAATTTTCCTTTGCTCCCTTGAATTTTAGTACAGGGTGATGCAAATTATTGTAATTGTGACATTTGACATTTTGTTTGCTCTTTTCAGCATTTATTTCCTTGGCAAATTATCGTTCGGATGGGATAATACTGAGTTATGAGTTTTTGATTCAGTACAATGGCGTGTGTTCAGATGGAGATCTAACAGTATTACAAATAAAGCCCACATTATGAATATGCAATAAAGTCACAAGATGGCTCTTAACATTCATTAGCATTAGATTTAAAGCCAAAATGCTGACCGGGAGTAGAGCCTTTTCTTCTTTTTATTTCTAGTCTTTTCCCTGTTTTATTATATATATAGATCTTATGCTATAATATATTAAGTGCATTAGGTGGCAGACCTGGGTATACCTCCCCTGGCTGAGACTCATACAGCTTCCCTACACACTTCCTAAAAAAGAGTTTATATATTTTAGCTTCCATTATTACACAATATGTTTAACCCCTTAAGGACACATGACATGTGTGACATGTCACGATTCCCTTTTATTCCAGAAGTTTGGTCCTTAAGGGGTTAAATTAGAATGCTATATCTCTTGCTCTGCTAATAGTCTGCTACAGGTTATAGATTCATTTGTGTGTGACTAAAGTTTTTAAAAAAATGGTTACTTCAACCACAGTACTTTTAGAAGTTGTCATGGTCAGGGCCAGTGCAAGGCTTTTGGCGACACAGGTGGATATGCATTTTGCCAACCCTGATTCCCCACCTCCTCCCCCAAAAGAAAAATATTGTGTGTCTCTTAACCCCCCTTTTTAAAATTCTTATCCCCGTTTGTGTCTCTTATCCTCTCTTTTGAATGTCCTACCTGCTTTAGTGCATCTTATGCCCTATTTTCCCATTTGTGTGTCTCTTAAAACCCCTTGTGTGTCTCTTACTTACCTCTCGCCACTTTGTGTGTCTCTCCCTCCCCAAGACCCTTTGTGTCTCTTTCTACTCCAAGCTTCTTTGTGTGTGTGTTTCTCCCCTCCAACCTCTTTGTGTACAAACGATCTTGAAATCTTTGGTGGTTTCTTGATATTATCCACTGCTTGTCCACCCGATTAAAACTGCATTACTCTTCTTTCTCCATCTCTGTAGTGACACCTCCCACACCTCACTATACCCCCCACACACACACACACACACCATCTCCCTCTTATCTACAGTTTGCAACATTGTAGTTGTCTAAGGCTCCTCACTACTATTTGACAAACAAATATATATGTAGAATGGGCAAGATATACAGTCATTAGAAGAGGCTCATTTAGATTTAACATTTATCATCATTTAGATTTATTTTTTTCCCTCCCTTCTTGGATAAGAACTGTAAAATAAATAAATAAATACTTACATCGCAAAACGTCTCGTGACTTCAAAGCGTTTTCTGCCTAGTGACTAGATGACACATACAGTCTAAAACAACAGACACAAATTATCAGGGATGAACTCCAATCTGGGAAACTAGCTCCTAACAACATATGGTATGAAAATCCCTGCAAATATCTCTAATGTTGGTGCCTTTAATATTCGCTCCTTTGCTGTGTATCAAACTATCACCTAATCCTAATGCAGCATTTTATTCATGCTGGCTATTTCTGGCCGGGTTTTCCTGAATGTCATGATATTATTACAATTTTCCTGTCGTGGGAAGAAGACAGTGTTCTTCGAATGCTGTAATGAAGTGTAATAAAGGTATACATTATGTATGACGGGGCTACAAAGTGACAAATAATGCACGCATTATGTACAGAGCGTCAGAGACAGTATTAACATGAAATAAGTGACAATGAACTCATTGGCTTACAATCTATTAGCTTTGACCTAATGGCATCACTTAAATCTTATATGAAACAGGACAAGGAGTAAGCGCTAAATAACAAATAGGCAGCAACCCTTTAAGGGTATCCCTCAAACACCCTTAAAAGATCACAAAAGAGAGAAAAATAAGAAGTAAGGGCTGCGCCAGAAAAACTTAATACGGAATAAAAATAACAAATAGTCCAAATAAAGAAAAAGAAAAAGAAGTCTTATCTAAAATGCTCTTATTGGAGTCACAGAGTCTATAGGTGCTTAGTCCAGAACAAATGTCCTCGCTGTTCTCCTCCGTATAGGTCCACTCATATGTAAGAGATAAAATAGATAGAGAACAAAATAGTGCAATAGGTTTAATAATAAAAGGAATAAAATATAAAAGGCTGGTATAAAACTCACATTTGCAAGAGCTACAACTCGCTCTAGTATGAAAGGCGTACAGCAGTACAATCCCCGCTTATGGGATATAGGGTAGACTTCCTCCGTCAGTGGTATGTTCAACACTCGGATAAAAAGAGACAACCAATAGTGCTCACTGGATAAAATACTGGAAATAAAATATATATAATGGTACTCACAAGAAAGGAGCAGGCCGACTGCTCCTAGAAGATAGCGCTGGTGGTATGATCCCCACCTAGGATTACTTGGAGTCCAGGGTGATAAGATGTTAGTGCTCTTATTATTGTCTTTTCTTATTTTTTTTTATTTTTTTTAATGTGAAAAGTCATATTTATAAAAAAATATAGAGTCATGGAAAAAAGTGACTGAATAAAATGATTAAATATCACATTTCCACCTTAAAACTTGTCTGTAAAAAAATGAGGCAATTCAATGCAATTCTATTGTTTCAAATGAGCTAATTCTATTCTCTTGCGCTGTTTTTTTTTTTTTTTTCTCATGAATTTCAATAAATGTTCTAGCAGCAGAAATGAATATGGCACAACAAGAGAAACCATATTTGCATCATAAATCATGAACCCTGGCTGCTCTCTAACGTTCTGATTTAATATTTTATAGATAAGCTTTTCAAATAATTTCATATTCTAGAATACATTATTGTAATTATTTGTTTAAAATGATTAATATATCTAAAAATATCAAAATATTAAAATGTCATATTTTAATAATTTTCAGTATATTCAATCACTAAACAGCTTATTGTGGCAGCCTACTCTCAGGGGACCCGAAGTGATTATAGCTGTTATAGCTGGCTCACCCATACACTAGCCCAGTGGTTCCCAAACTTTTTAGGTACAAGGCACCCTTAAAGGACCACTATAGTGCCAGGAAAACATACTCGTTTTCCTGGCACTATAGTGCCCTGAGGGTGCCCCCACCCTCAGGGTCCCCCTCCCGTCGGGCTCTGGGGAGAGGAAAGGGATAAATCTTACCTTTTTCCAGCTCCGGGCGGGGAGCTCTCCTCCTCCTCTCCGCCTCTTCAGCTTAATGCGCATGCGCGGCAGGAGCTGCGGGCGCATTCAGCCAGTCTCGTAGGAAAGTCTCATATGGACGCTGGCGTCTTCTCACTGTGATTTTCACTATCACTAAGCTAAAGTTATTTTGGTCACTATAGTGTATCTTTGAGCACATACAATTGCATATAACTCAAGAGGTAGCTGTTAAGTTTCACATGCAATAAAAGAAAAATTAGGGACTGTCAATTCCCAAATTATTTTTCACATGAAATCTTTGGGAAGGTTTTGAAGGGCTTCTTGTCAGAGCGTGGGGCTCATTCTCCAAGGGTGAAATTGATGAACCGATCACCCAAACAAATCTGCATGATTAAAGGGACACTATAGTCACCTGAACAACTTTAGCTTAATGAAGCAGTTTTGGTGTGTAGATCATGCCTCTTAGGTTTCACTGCTCAATCCTCTGCCATTTAGGAGTTAAATCCCTTTGTTTATGAACCCTAGTCACACCTCCCTGCATGTGACTTGCACAGCCTTCAATAAACACTTCCTGTAAAGAGAGCCCTATTTAGGCTTTCTTTATGGCAAGTTCTGTTTAATTAAGATTTTCTTATTCCCTGCTATGTTAATAGCTTGCTAGACCCTGCAAGAGCATCCTGTATGTGATTAAAGTTCAATTTAGAGATTGAGATACAATTATTTAAGGTAAATTACATCTCTTTGAAAGTGAAACCAGTTGTTTTTTTTCATGCATGCTCTGTCAATCATAGCCAGGGGAGGTGTGGCTAGGGCTGCATAAACAGAAACAAATTGATTTAACTCCTAAATGACAGTAAATTGAACAGTGAAATTGCAGGGGAATGATCTATACACTAAAACTGCTTCATTTAGCTAATGTAATTTAGGTGACTATAGTGTTCCTTTAATTAATTGTATTCACAGCGGGTGCATCTATTGCTGGGTAGCACTGTCAAATAAATATACATGTATATTATTAAATATTAAACATACGGGACAAGTAAAAAAGAGCTAGGCTTGAGAACCACAAGTGCCTTTGTAAAGGCATTAGCTGATCACAGTACAGGCAGTGGTGTAGATGCCTGTCTGGGAAAGCAGTTTAGGATGAAAAGGAAGAGGGGATGATACCTGCCTGGAAGGGGAACGCTGCAGCCTGGTCAGGTGGAAGAGTTCCTGAGAGAACCCAGTCAAGCTTCAGCGACTGGGTTTAAAATGAGTTCCAGAGTGCTCTGTGGCAGCGAGGAAGCGGAATTACTCGGTCGGAGTACGGGAGATCTGTCACATTCATTGCTATTATCACTTCAGCAAGTCGAAAGTAGATTGGTAAAAAAAAAGAAAACCAAAATATGGGCTTTTCACTATACAGCATATGATGTAAGAACTTATACTTTAATCAGCCACTTCAGTACGCACAGAGATCACTGTGCGATGAAAGCCTTTTACAAGTATCATTTGTTAGGTAAATGTAACACTGTGAGAAAAGCTTGAAGGCTCAGTTGCTGATTACCTTTATCTGCTCCCACTAGCACAATTTGTGCATCTTAGCCTGTGGGTCAAGGGTCAAAGTACTCAGCCCTTTAACTCACTGGGTAGAATATTGTCATCATGAAATGTAATTAAGAGGTAGGACTTATTAGCAGCATGCAGTGCTAACAGCATGTATCTAAACTTTTGCTCTCACTGTTTACATGTTGCTGTTACTGCTTCTAGCTCATTGTGATATATCCCATTTCCTTAATTTGCTTTGTGATTTCACTTCTGACCCTGCAGCCCACGTACCTCATTTATTGTTGGCCTTGCCCTTCTCACACTTCTACTCGTAAGCATAACAGAACTAATTTTATTCCAATTAATTGTTATTCTTACAGGGTTATTCAGTACAGTCTGAATGGTCCAGTAGAGCAAAACCATCAGGTGCTGTACGGTGATATTCAGACTGCAAAATTCAGAATATTCTTAAAAATATTTAATATTGATATGATTTTACACTGCAGGCTCTGGATGATCTTGGCTTTGGTCAGGATTTCAGCTGCCAGACGGCTGAAATCTAGACCTGGATTTTTAAATTCCGGGCCTGGATACTTTAGATTCAAACAATTTGCCCGCTGGAAGCGAGAGCAGCCAGCAGGTACATAGTTTTAAAAAACAAACTCTAGTGGTGCGAAAATAATCATATTCTATTAAAGATTCTTTAGACAGGCCATGGGAATAAACTTCAGCTGGTGTTATATTTAGAGCCTCCACTCACCACCTGTGGCCAGGCGCCAGGGAGACATTAGGTATCCCTTCCACATTAGGATGTCTCAGCCTATTTTTTTTACATTTAATAACCCCCATCCTTTGGCCATGGAAGGTGAAAGGGATTAGTTAGCAATCTGTCCAACCCCACTGTTTAATTTAAAGTCCTCCATCCAATGTGCAATTGTTGTGGCAAGCCAGCGAGCCAGAGGCTGCTCACTCTAAACCACCCGCCCCCCCCTCTTTATTTTACAGTCTCCAGCCCCTGGCTCGCTGTTTAGTAGATATTTCCCTCCTGGTTAATCATCGCTGAGGTGCAAAAAGCAATTTCTTTGTTTTTTTTTTAAGTTGATGCTTTATGAATATTCAGAACTGTACAATCTGTATCGGGTTTATATGTGACAAGCACTGATAATAATCCGGACACCGAATGTGGTCGAGCAATTGTTGCAGGTTCACTTGGATTGGCCGAATATCGATCGGATTTATTTAACTTTAGTAAATATAAGAATTGCTATTCTGGTTGGAATTCAGGCATTTTCGCTAGATATTGTCCATTTGGACAAAACCTAGTGTTTAGTGAGTTACCCTGTTAATCCTTCACTGCTGACACACAATTCCTAAATACTAATAACTAAAAACTTTCAACTTTTACCTGGAAATATGTACCCATGCCCTAAATTACAAGAAACTCAATAATGACACTGACAACTTCTTATGTTGGATAAGGCACACAGCTTTATTTATACGGCACAACTTGCCAGCAACCATCCAAAATTACAACATGCCAGCTGCCGGGTGGATACCAACAGACAGATACATATTTACTTTAATCAGAGTCCGCCTTCAGCCTCCATGCTGACCAGAGCCGCCCAAGACAACCTTAGGCAGATTTACTGCTCGGGTGTTTGCTGAGCTGGCAAGGATCATCGCTGCTGTGGAAACATAGTGGAGAGAAAACGACAAAGTAAACAAACAGCAAAAGACAAAAACAAATTACACAACCACAGATGTCCAGGGCGGTTGGGCTGGAAAACAGGTCAGCCTCGCTCAACCTTCCAACAGTTAAGACCCACCCCACTCTACCATTCTCTTCACTCTTACATTTTGCAACATTTTAAGCAAGATTTGAATGGTTAGTCAATCCAGAGAAAGTTTAACAGTGCATCAGTCATGCTCGCCCTTTCTTAGGTGTCCAGGGGGGTGACTTAGTGTACACTTTCGAAAAAAACTTTCTACGAAACAATCCTGCAGCCATACGTGAACTATTTGCTCCAAGCATTGTGCACCTTTTTAAACTTGGTTAAAATGGGACTTACATTTACCACTGCACGCTAATGTGATGGTTTCAACCATACCCCTAGGCTCAGGCTCCATTACTTCTCCTGAATGCATCACTCACAAAATATTGCTCTTACATCATATTCATTCCAATCACTTAAAGCCTGTGGCGTTTTGCTCGGTCTCTTGTTTCTTTCCCTGTCTTCATGTACAACTGACATTGCACTATAACTTTTAGCCCTACAGTTATTATTATAATTTATGTATCAACAAGTTCGACAATGCTTTACAATTATATAATGGGGATATTCAACAACAAGTTCATGTTCAGGAAAGGCTGGAAAAACTGGATTTCTTTTCTTTACAAAAAAGTCATCTCAGAGGGGATATGTTATGCACTATACTAATGCATATACAGGGTCAGTACAACTCTGTTCATTAGTAGGAATATAAAACAGACAATAGGTCACCTACTGAGACTGGAAGAAAGGCATTTTTACTTACCGCAAAGGAAAGGGTTCTAAGTAAGATCAATAAATATATGGAATTGTCTACCTAAAGCGTTTGTCTTATCAGATTCTATTCTATGAACAGAATATTCAAGTATATAATTAATATGTATGTAATAAGGTTGTTGATCCAAGGAGATATTTGATTGCCATTATAGAGTCAAGAAGATATTGTTTCCCCTTTTTTGTTGCATAATTGGAAATGGCTACAATCCAGTTTATTTGCCTTCTTTCAGATCAACAGCATAAAAAATGGGCTTCATGGTCGAACTTGATGGACTTTAGTCTCTTGTCAACCTAGACAACTATGTAACTATTACTCAATTTGCAATATAGGTCATTTTAGCACCACAACAGATTTAACTAACATCTACATGTCCGAACTCTTCACTCTATCCTCACCTTTTCATATATCTCAACAGATTTTCCCACACGTACTAATTACACTTGCATATATTATTTTTGGTCACATAGTAATATAGGCTAAATAAAACACCCGAGTACGTTGTTTGTTTGTTTTTTTTACACATTACTGCTACTAGTAGTGACCCAAATGAAAGTCAAAAGCCTAATTTGAAGCAATTCTCAATTTTGCCACAAAACGAGAAAGAAAATAAATTTTGACTTAAAAATACCAGTCAGATTTCAATTTGGATCAACAAGTGTCACTGTCACTGTCTGTGCACTTTGCTGAATTCACAAAGACATCACTGCCACTGCGGGGGGGTCCGGTAACCGGGTTGTCCCCTGTGGCCGTGGCCATCTTGTTCTGGCGGGTTCCTCTTCAGCTCCTGGCGCACGTTACTGCTGTACTCTTGCACATGCGCGGGAGTACATCATTGATGTCTGTGGAAGATCCTGTGAGACTGTGGGATCCTCCATAAACACAGCCAATTCCCTGCAGTCATCACTGGTGACAGTTGTTGGGATTGACACTGTAGCTCTGTCCAGACTCTAAGAAAGTCAGGCAGAGAAAATATACAGAGACAAAATAATACTTAATTTGTCTCTGTACGCCTCTTGGCTGAGTTGGAATTTCATTGAATTTCATTGAAATTCCAACACAGTCAAAATGAGTATTTCAAGATTCTATCTTTATGAAATACAATTTTTTCAAGAGGGTTGACAGTGCCACTTTAAATTAGCTATGTGATCCTGTCCACAAGCTCTTAACATTATTACTTTGTAGTAGTAACCTTTGTTAGAGTAGCAGCATCATTCATCATATATAATGAGTGTGCTTGGTAGATTGAAAAGAAGGTGACATTGTGGCAAGCTAAAAAGTTTATATACCACGGTATGTACTCTATGATAGCAGTACCAAAAAGTTTGTTTTGCTTTTCTATTATATTATATGATTCTGACTTTGTTGTATTGATCTAATGCCTGACTCCATCAGTATGTCAAGTTGTGCATTTATTTGAATACTGCTATAGTTAATTCAGAAAGTATAACCTATGTCCAAAAGAAAGCATGTATTGCACCAAAATCAACTTTAGATTAATTAAGTGGTTTTGTTATATAGAATAAATCAATTAACAGAGCAAGAGATAAAAAGGGTCTAAAGTTAACACACTGTGCTGTTAGATCTGATTGAAAATGAAAACATTTTTTTTTCATGTAGGCTGTGTCAGTCACAGTCAGGGGAGATGTGGGTAGGGCTGCATAAACATAAACAAAAAATGATTTAACTCCTAAATGGCAGAGAATTGAGCAGTGAGACTTTAGGGACATAACCTGTACTCAAAAACCACTTCATCATGCTAAAGTTGTTTTGGTGCTTATAGTATCTCTTTAAATCCAACGTACTCCTGCAGAAAAGATAATGATTTTACAACTATGTCTAGCTGCTTGGGGTAAAAAGAAAATAAGTTATGTAGTGTGAAATATAAGAACTTTGAGGTATCAGCTGTGGACATGCAAGTTAAATAGGCTGATCTTCAAAGACGGCTTGTGGGTTATCAGAGTCAAACCTGATGGAACAAAATTGCATTGCCATCATTTCTGTGCAGACACCCAGAGTAATATTGCACACTTCTAATCGGGCGAATGGGGTAAGTAGCATCAGACATGTTCATTCTGAATTATCAATGAGGAGAAAGCAGTTTCTTAATGCCATGAGAAGTTCTGTTTTTTTGCTTCTAAACGTTTGACATAAAATCAGTACACAGCACCCAGATCTGTTGGAAACATAACCCCTACTTTGAGTTGTAGCAGCCATGTTGCTAAGAGGGTACATTTAAAGTTTCTCGAGAGCGCTCCATTTGGATAGTAAATCTATTCAGGGAAAGACAGTGTGACAAACTCTCCTCTCTAAGTGAGTTTGCCACAAGCTCCTGGAGGAGCCTGCTTGCCAGCCTCCTGCTCACAGACTATGGTCCCTGCAGGGAAACCTGTAAAAGACTACCAAACCTGACCGACTGTTAGCACTGATTTCATGGAACTGTTTTGGGCATAGGACCATGTGCACCATCGGTCAAAATTATGACTTCCAGGTAATTCCTGAACCCTTGAACTGATCTGGGTGATTTTTGGATACGTTGGTCACCCAGCTAGGGGTTATCATGGGATGTAACATTTGTGGGGATATCATGTGTTTTGCGGTACTTTTGGGACTTTTTAGAAATGTAAGTTTTTTTCTGTGCTTGGAGATAATTGGATTAGAATTAGTACAGTTACTGATCCAATTATCTCCCAAGCAGAGGGGAGGGATTGTGTGTCATGTGTGGGAGTGCCTTACATTGTAAATGTGTTATTATTGGTTTGTAAGTTTGTGTCCCTATCCCCAACAAGGTCCATGTGGGCATACACCTTGCTTAGGGATTGTCATAAAAGGCCAGTGTGGCACCATTAACATCTGTTCTAGCTTACACTCCAAAAATGTGTGTCGTCCTGTTATTGGAGGGAAATAAGATTTACTCCTGTGTCTGCTGTTCCAGCTTGCAGGGCATTCAACGTAATTGTAGGGACTAGAGCTAATTCCCCATTTGGCTCCTGGAAGGAGCGGTCCCAGGGCCCCAGTCAAGCCAGGGCAGAACTGCTGTTTGATCCCCGTTCCAGCTAGGAAACGGTCCTTGGTGGAGGTACCCAGCCAGGGGTACTGGGAGCTCCATTACAGCCAGCAACGTGACAAATGTTGAAATAGTCCACACAGGAATTAACTGTGAATTTTACACTTAAAGCCAAAGTAGATGAAACACAGCTAACTTAGATAATTTTTCCATGTCAGCAATTTTAATCTTAAATTTCAAATTCACCCGCTATGTTAAATAGTGTCGGTCTCTGAAGTTATTTGTTTTTCTTCCTGTTGTTATTAAAAATTAAAAACCTTGACAGATTGCGACCAAGCCAAGTACCTTCGTATCACTTAATTCATGTCTTAACGTAATGACTTTTCCTTTCTGTACCACCAATATGACAATGTATACAACATGTTATGGCTTTTGGCACAGGCCTCTGGACAATGATTATACCGCAATTTCTGTCATTGCAAATATAAAGTATTAAAAATTCTAATTCACTTGGAATTCACCTTGAATTCTCATTGTAATTAATAACCATGGAAGACTTCCTAGCCAATGTGAACAGCATCACAGTGGAAGGAAATCGGCAAGAATTCCTGCAATGCATTACACATTGGTAGGGAGATATTATTTTTGACATATATATAATGCTAACTTATTCCGCAGCGCTTTACAATATTATAAAGGAGGAAATTTAACAATCAATGCGACAATTACAAAGTGTTACAGGAACAATAGGTAGGTGAGGAACCTACACAAACAAGCTTACAGTCAAGAAGAGGTGGGGTATAAAAAAAATAGGAAGGGCATCGAGGGGGACAAACAACAAAGTGGTAATGAAGCAGAACTGTAGTTGAGAGTCGAGTGTGGCCCTTTTAGGAGAGAGCAAGGGACTGGTATGTAAGGCAGAGGTTACTCTAGGAGGCCATAAGCTTTCCTTAACAGATCGGTTTTGAGGGACTTCTTAAACGATTGAAGACTAGGGGAGAGTCTGATGGTGGTAGGCAGGCTGTTCCAAAGGAAAGAAGCCACCTTCAATTCCTGAAATTGCAAGATAGCAGTAAGCAGTAAGGGTGCGAGCAGCGGACAGGAGAAGGTCACCAGCAGAGCAGAGAGACTGAGAGGGGATGTACCTACGAATCAGTGAAGAAATATAACAGGGGATAGAGTTATTTAGAGTTTTATTGGTAAGGGTTAGTGTTTTGAATTGATTCCTATAGGATACAGGAAGCCAATGTAAGGACTGACAGAGGGGTGAGGTGTGAGAAGAGCGACTGGAGAGGGAAATCAGCCTGGCTGCAGCATTCATTACAGATTGTAGTGAGGCAGTACGGCTTCTGGGGAGGCCAGTAGGAGAGTATTACAGTAGTCAACGTAAGAAATTAATAGAGCATGGACAAGCTTCTTAGCAGCATCTTGTGTAAGAATGGCGCGAACGCAGGCAATGTTTTTAAGGTGGATTTGACAGATTTTGACAACAGACTGAAGGTGAGGCCAGAGTCAAAGATAACACCAAGATTCGCTCTCCCACCAATTTGAATGGAGAGCGAAAGAGGAAGATCAGTATTATGAGGAGGAAAAACAAGAAGCTCAATTTTAGAGAGTTTGAAGTTCAGAAAGCCGGAGGACATCAAATCAGAGATCGAAGAAAGGCAATTGGTAGCACGTTGTAGGACAGCGAGGGAAAGGAGGATAGATATATCTGGGTGTCATCAGCATAAAGGTGGTAGCGGATTCCAAATGAGGTAATAAGTTTGCCAAGAGAGGCAGTATAAAGAGAAAACAGAAGGGGACCAAGAGCCTTGGGGGACTCCAAACGAGACAGGACAAAAGGAGAAGGTATCATTAGAAAAGGAGATGCTGAATGAACGTTAGGAGAGATAGGAGTACAACCACGAGAGGACAGTGTCACAGAGACCAAGGAATTGAAGAATTTAGAGAAGGAGGACATGATCAGCAGTGTCAAAGGCAGCAGACATTTTTCACAGGGATAAGTGCCAAACCTAGACGGGAACTGTCTGTTAGTGGAGCATTTTTGATTAAATGAATGTTCACAAAATCGGAGAAGTCATAAAAACAGAAACTGAAGTGGAGCACTTGTAAACCTTAAAATAGATCATGGATAGGCAACCTGCTGCACTCCAAATGTTGTGGACTACGTCTCCCTTGATGATACGTCAGTATTATGGCTGAAAGAGCATTATGGGTGATCCACAACATCCACAATCCACAACATCTGGAATACAAAAGGTTGCCTACCCCTTCCATACACAATAAGTAATCCAAAACCATTATACATATTTATCACAGGTGCACCCATCTGTGGCACAGACAATTTGGACACTCAAAAATTTGCAAGTTGAAATTTAACATACATGATAATGTTGCCATATCACAATTTTGTCACATGTACATGCTGAATCAAAGCAAAGGTTACAAATAATTCACATTTGATGCACGGTCAAAGAAAAATCAAAAACCCCATGGAACGTATACACAGTGATGGACACAGACTTCAAAAGAGCACCTACAGCCTCAAACAGGCTACAAAAGCATGGAATGAAAAGATCAAGGGCGTTTAAAAAATGTAAAACAGACCCATGCCGATATCATAGAAATACAAGTGACTAATGTATATATATTCTGATTAATGTTGACAGCATTATAATCTATTTTGCCTAATATATTTTCCGTAAGAATAAAAGAATAACAGAGCATAGAGGAATTGTCAGTTCAGAGACATCAAAAACAAAGTACAAATTGTGTCTGACGTGAGAAAAAGCAAAGGCAGTCAGTACAGAGAGAAGTAAGTCTGCTCTGCATATAATATTTGAAGGTGTGAGGGACAGAAAAAGAAGCATACATCTATTAACTATAGTGCCAAGTGTAATGGATCCCCTATACTCCAACTGAGTATATCCACTGTAGTTCTCCCAAATTTCAAGTGAAGCAGTGATTAAAGCGCTGAGCCTAGACGTGATGAAGGGTACAACAGGAATAATTTATTCTGGCCAGATGGCTTGCTTTTATACACATCAGGGTTACAGTCAAACACTCCCACAACACGAAGATAACACTCCCACAACACGCCTATGAATTTCTGTGTCTGCATGACTAAGCATAAAAATATAAAATATTAAAAATACAAGACATAGAGGAACCCCCACAAACATTACATCCTTAAATAGCCCTGATCTGAGCGCCCAAGTTCTGCAAATAGCTCTCAGATCTATGCAGTGTAGGGGAAACGCCACCGTGTTAAAGTTCTGATTGACTGCACACATGGTTCTATGCCCAAAACAGTTTCAGGGCTTTTGGTGC